GACAATGTCGCTTTTATGGTGTTCCAAAATGCGTTCTGTCTGTAAGTGAAATCTAGCATGCTCTCTGGAGTGAGAATTTTGCAGAGAAAAGAAAATTCTTTTAAAATATGGGATATTTTCTTTAAAATAGGGACATCTGGCAACCGTAAATATACCTTCTTGGTAGCAGTACTATCCTGAAGATGTCAGTCTGTCTCACTGCAGGCTGTGCACAATCCTTCTACTTTGATAGCAGCTCTATTTCAGTGATGCAGAAAATTAATTAGTGCATTTTATTTCCGCACTTTATGGAGCTAGATACTGTGGCAAATAGCAAAAAAAAAAAAAAAGAAAAAAAAGGAAAAAAAAGGAAAAAAAAGGAAAAAAAAAGAGTTGGGCGGGGGGGAGAGGCAACTTTACGAATGAGCAAGCATCAAATTTGCCTTTCACTGAATGGCTTTTGAACAATCACAATGAAGCAGGCTCGATAAAGGAAGGTATCTTATTTGAACATAAGTAGAAAAGGGGAATTCATTGACACAGATGGTAGCTGCTGTGCTGCTGACCTTATTAGCAATAAGGATAGAAAAAATATTCAGAAATGTTTGGAAAATGGTTGAAAAACATGCTTTAAGATGCATCAACAAAAAGAATTCTGGACTGTTGAGAATCTTCGCAGTTTGGCATTTGTTCTGTGCAAAATTTTCACTTTTTTGCACAGCTATTTAAAGATATATTGGTTTCTTAAAGACATGTTACTTCAACAGTTTGTAATCATACAGCTCTTCCCCCCTTGCTTTTATTTATTTAATAAACCAATTTATTTTAAATTACTGCTTTTAAATGTTGTTTCTTTTTGTGTGGATAATGTGCACATTCATTAATTTTTTAACTTGCTCAGTTTCATTGGGTTTCTCATGGACAACAGGGTAGCCACAGTATCAACACAATGTTGGACTGAAAAGGTCCTTGGTATCATCCAGCACAATTCTTCTTTACCCTTCTTTCTTTCATTCATTAAAATGTTTTTATCTTACTATGGAATCTCAGGATGACATACAATATTAAAAAAATACAAACTCCTCTAATTAGAAACATAAATAATTTAAACAAGATACAAACATATTAAAGAAGATTACAGTTAAAACAACCTTAATAGGTACAACCATTTAAAACCATCCACATGTTCATTTCGAAATAAATTAGGTCCCAATGGCTTCAATAAAAAGTCATGTTTCAGTTTGGAGTGGGAAAGAATCCAATGTTGGCACCAGTGGGACCACCAAAAGGAGGGCATTGCACAGTCAGAGTGCCACAACCAAGAAGGCCCTTGCCCATGTCTTCCCACTTCATATTGTCCCCACTAGTGGGACACAGAGGAGGACTTATCCCACAAACTTCAGTTCTTAGGTAGGTATATATAGGGAGAGGCATCCCTTCATGGATTAAGGTCCAAAACCATTTATATCAACTTTGAGGTCTTGCTGCCTAATGCAGTAATATTAGCCATCATGACTACATGGGAAAGCCATCTGTTGACTCAACACAACCATGAGTACAAGTGAGGAATAACAGGTCTTCAGTGTATAGTAGGGAATAACAGCTGGATAACATCTGGTTGTCCACTGTGGGAAAAACATGATGCTGGATTAGAAGGACATTTGGTCTGATTCAGCTGGGCTCTTCTTTAGTTCTTATGTTCTTAAACAATAAAATTAGGGGAGGAGTGATATAACACCAAGACATTACAGAGCAATCAATCTGATGGAGCAGAACATATGGTTATAGTTGCTGTATAGAGCAATAAAGCAAACGAAATGTAACATCAGGAGTCCACAGTGTATAGTTCCAGGAGAGAGAGAAAATCTTTGAATCAGGCCTGGCTATGAGAAAAAATAACACTTTTTCAAAAAAAAGAAGAAGTATTATTATCACATTTCTATCTACTTTGAGTGACAAATGGGAAAAATGATCACACCTGATTGTGTTGCCTTTCTACAAATGCTACCTACCTGCCTTCTTTTCCTATCCTCTGTTAATTTCAAGTTGTGAGACTTTGTTTCATCTTCCCCCATGGAAATGCAAACATATTTTTAAATCAGTTTCTCATTAACATATGCATACTCCCTATTAACTAAAGGATTGCATGTATTTTCCCCCAGTTATGAACATTTTAGTTGTTGGCTTTTCTTAATAAACATGTATGTCTCTGTGTATATGGGCCTTCAAGTTACCTGCAGACTCCTGTCAACCCCATGAATTTCATAGGGCTTTCTTAGGCTGGGAATAATGCGGTTTACCAGTTCCTTCCTTGGAAATATAGCCTATAATACTTGGTATTTGTTAGCATTTTTTCCATCCAAGTACTAACCAGTGCTAATCCTGCTTAGCTTCCAAGTTCAGACAGGATTTGATGTCTTTGGCATATTTTTATATAAAAATGTACACATAGTTTTATGTTCATTTTATTTCTTTGAAACAGATTGCAAGTCTAGCAACTGTGTAAATTTCTAGGGCAAGCTGCACTTTATTTATCTGTTACATTTGTCTCCTGCCTTTCTACTAAAAAGTGGAACTCAAGGTACTCACTGAATCACTAAAAGAAACTGAGAACAGTGTGCCCTCCACATTCACTGGAGTTTGGGGCACAGGACCCCCATGAAAGTGGGGAAAAAAAACACAAATAAAAGAACATTTTTAAAAACTGAGAGAACACGTATCTAGAAATCTCTAGGTCCTCCTGCACAACTCTATAGTCAACATCTGCCAGAAGCTCACCACAGAATCCTACTGAAGGACCTACAAATACCTAGAGAAGTCTTTTCTCTAGGAACTTCTAGGTTCTCCAGCACAACTCTATGGTCAACTTCTAGGTTCTCCAGCACAACTCTATGGTCAACGCAAATAATCAAATCCACAAAAGTCAAAGCTGCAAATGTGGAGGCTGACTTTAATATAATGATTAGGATGAGAGCAATGAAGACACCGATGGGGTAATGATGATTATGATAATGTAGCTATGCTGTAACTTCCCAATTGTTTTTGCTTCTGCTCCTTGCAGCCTCACTTCTAGTCATAAGGGGGCAGGATATGCCATCTTGCAGTGCCTCAAGCATCACAAGAACAGACCTTGGTTGCTCTGGATGGCTGATTGGCTCTTAAGGTGGACATCAAGGTTATAATGCCAATAATGCCATGATCGCAAATGAGAATACAGTGATCCCTCCACATTCACTGGGGTGAGGGGCTCAGGATCCCCA